ATACTGTCAAACCTATCATTACCGTACTTTACTAAAAAAAAGTTTTGTACATAATGAAAAAAAAGCGAAAAATGAAGATGTAAAAATTGAAAGTTTATCGTCACGAGTTACTGTTTACGCCATGCAAAAGCATAATGTTTCATCCACATTATCTCTTTTTTAAACCTCATGTGCATGCGATAAAAACGCATGTTTACAGGGAAGAAACAAAAGTGCACGTAAATCAAGTTCTTTTTGCTAATTAAATCCAAAAGATATTAAGCGCAAGGAAGCCAGAGCTAAATATACAACATTATTCCTCATGTAAATAAGCGTCATAACTCTTTCTCATCTACATCTTGTTAAAGGGATTTGAAAATCATACATGCGAATATGCCCCGGAATTGGTTTGTAAATTCCATTGAAAAAACCTAATAAGCTATACAACTACAACCAATTTCCAGAGGCAATCACATACCCCCTCCGTCATAAAATTCAACTACAACCAAGGCGACGTCTTTCTCCTGCTTCTGCTTGTGTACATCAAACAAACGTTTTCACCCGAGTACCGTGTACACATATTCGCACTCTCCGCCCTCCACAAACCAACTTTGCTCTTTTTCGTTCTCAAAATATTTTATGCCTCTATTTTAAAAGCTGAATTACCTTAGCCTTTCTCTTTTTTTTTCATACGCCGATTCGAAGTGCAAAACGAAAGAGGAGCGAAAACATTTGCATAAGGCCAGAAGGATTCAGTTTTATGGGCCTCGGGATATTTTTCTTATCCTCTGATAGTTTGCGCGTCATTATATTATACCTTTGGGGTAAAAATTAAAGTCTTGCCTGTTTAATCAACGTGAACGGCTTACGTGCATGTAGTGAAGCCCCAACACATGAGACTTCCTTGGGTCGAAAGAAGGATGAACGAAGACTTTTATTGTCTTTTGGACTCAGTCCAAATATTTTTTTATTGTCATTTAAACCTTATCATGAGAAAGAAAAATATTATTCTTGTCAAGTGTGTATATTTTTTGTTCTTTTTTTTCCTTTACAGAGCATGAGTGCTCTAGGCGTACAGAAAGTCTCATAATATTTTAAGCAAACGCGGCCGATGTTTGAGTCAAGATATAAATACTTTATTGAATAAATGTCAGGTCTAATCAGGTAAAATCGATTAGTAAAATCAAATGTCATTAAATAGTGTTCGTTCGATGTTTCAATGAAATGTAAATTAGACGCATCTGTGGTATCTGTGCATTTTTAACAACGACCCCATTTCATCTTAATATCAAAGCTCTAGCCATCACTCATCCGAACAGTTTTTTCGACGGACTTATTACTGCATCCATAATAATGGGTACACTTTACAATAGATACAATTAAAAACTCGCACAGACTTTCCATTGAATTTGTGGATGTAGAAGATTGTCGTAATCAAACTGCAACGTCATCATACTTCATTGACTGTTGTAGCAGGAAAAACTGTAACGTGACCGCAAGCTCGCAGAAGCTCACTGCTGCTACGTGCACAGATGGGGAGCAAGCGCCTCGCGAACACTGACCGAGATGTTATTTTCGGGTCTTGGAACGAGTAAGTGATAGCCCTGGTCCGGAGATCACTCGTCGTCACACGAGTGAAACAACAGTCTAAATAGAATCGAGGCTGCTGTGGCGGTGGTTGCAGCGTCTCTACGTGTGCGCCACCCAGTTTTCATGAGCGAGCTTATATATACACGCGTACACGCAGTGGCGAGCGAATGAGAGAGTTGACATTCTCGATTTTCAAGCTGGACGGGGAAGGGAGTTTAGGTCGACTGCACGTGCCGTGGATTTATCCGGGTATTAATTTTGCGCGCCCCAGCTGCTACCGTTTGGTAAACATTTTCGTACATGCGGTTGCGACGAGCTTTCTGCGATTGTGTCTCTCCACCCATATCTCTCCCTCTTTATCTGGGTACTTGTGTTTCTTCTATCACTGCCTTGTTGCACAAAGCATTATTGAAATTTCGCTGGTTGTTCTTTTTTTTTTCATCTCTTTTTTTGTTTGCTTCCTTTTCAAGATATAACTGGTTATTCTTTATCGATTGTACGCGTTTTTTAAGTCTAGTATCTTGATTTTTTTTCGATTGGCTGTTAAACCAACTAAATCTAGGTTTCATACACTAAATATTTTAGTTTGAAGTACTCTTTTCACGAATATCAGTCGTAATTTTATTCCACTCTTGCCTATTCATTCACATCACACCACATGTAAATAACCATAATAAAAGATCAACATGCAGTTAATTAAAAGACGATTGGAACAAAGAAATTATTGAGTGAGAGTAACTAGTTTTTGTTACCTATAGATAAATACATTTATACCTACGTATTAAATGATTGTTAAAAAAAAAAAATAGAACTTTTAGTAAAAAAAATTGTTCTCAAGGGGCACGAAGGATTAATACTTTTGCTCACTTTGCACATTGGTACACATATGAAAACTTCAACCTATAGCTGATTATACGGTTTGAACCCCCCTACTGATTTGAGTTTACTTATTAACAAATGTAACTAACACACTTTCAATTTTTTTTCTACAGTAGCAATGGTAGCCAGTACAACAGTACACTTGACTCTTAAAAAAAAAATTCTGGACAATAAGTCAGAGAGTAAGACGTTACAAATAATAACCATCCCACCCTTTAAACGTCCAGCTAAATTAAAACCAAGGGATCGAGTGGAGACACAACCGACGTGCCAACTTAGCCAAAAAGCTAAAATGACTCGCAAAACGAAGTGCACCAGGGGGGAAAATAGAAGACGCAATAAATTTACCGCCACCACCAACCAAGAGACACGACGACGCCCAAAGCGAAGAATTGCGTGCGGGGATGAAAGACTTTCCGTGCGTGAGGTCGACCCGTAGTAGTCGTTGACGGCACAATCTAATTCCCAGCCCATGCAAATCGAGCCGGTTAAGCAGTGGGGCTCGCGCTGTACCACCAGCCCTTGATACCCACCCTCGCGCGAAACGTACGCCGTTGCGGCAATATACACTGTACTCCTCCTCTTCTCTCTCTTTTTCCTCCCCCATCCAAAGTTTACGAGTCAAAAGCGATGCGCCGCAGGGAGCTGACTTGGTTCCATCGATTCTTCACGCCTCTCGCCTCCGGTGCCAGCACAATTACGATGTGCCACGCAAAACAGAACAAAGGAACTCGTGAGTAAAATGAGACGGAGAATGGTTTGTGAATAAGGGTGCGGAGAATTCACCCACGATTTATACCATAAATTTGGCCAGGATGTGCTTAAAAGCTTGCGTGCGTACTGCACACAATTGATTTGGTCCTGAAGTTAACTGGAAAGTCACGCATGCTGGGGCTACAGTTTTATTCTGGACGGTGGCAAAAGTTATCGCTAAATAATGTAAGATGGATCCCCTAGGATTCTCATGAGTGGACATCGGACATTGAATCAGTTTACCCACCTACAGAAATTTGTTGACTCCTCTTGCCCCCCCCCCCCAAACCCCTTCCTCGAAACGTCGAGACTTTCAATTTCGAGTGCGCTTGTAAAAGACCCCTTGTGTCCACTAGTGCTATGGAAACCGCCGTACCACCTACACCCGACAACATGATTGAAAGTAGTGGAGGGAGAGAAGGTCAATTCGGCGCCTCAGGAAATCGAAAAGTCCCGGCTGGTCACCGCTGTCGGGATTATTACGAGCACCGAGCCCAGCAGAGGTTCCCTTTTCGCTGGTTTCGCTGTTACCCAGACCACGAGCTGTTATTGACAAAAAAAAAAAGAAAAAGAGCGTGTCAAACTAGAAGCAAAAGAGGAGATGGAGAAAGGAAGCGCGTGAGAAAGATTTTTTTTAAATAGTGTGCGAAATCGTCCGCGCATACCTACGCCTGTAATTGCGACGAGGTGTAATAAGTTTCGGAAATTTAATCATTTCCAGGGGACGCGCACGCGAGGGTCAAGACAGGGACTGCTGTCAAGCGATTTTATATATACGTGTTATAAAAATAGAAGAAGGGAAAAGGGGTATGAAAAAAGGTGTCAGCAGAGAACGAAAGCTGCAGGGAGATAATAGGACCTCTGGAAAAAAAAACCTAATGTTCAAATACGTACTGTAGCCACTCAAATTTTATTCGAGAGATCGATCCGTCTATCGCATGTTGCAAGTAACATTTGTTGGATAATAAAAAATTTTAAAAACAAGGGACGTATGTAGTTACCAACTATCCATTTTCAATAACTAACAAACTCTTAATTTAAACGTTATCTTGTATTATCTTTCTTTTATAAACAACGGGATAAGATGTGTTTGATCGCAACTGTCCTTGGAGACTTTCGGGTGCTGGTACAGTACGTGGCCACAGCGAGACCTTCAAAAGTTCATGGACTCATTTATGAGGATTTTGAAACTTTCCCACTAATTCGCGGAGTCGAGATTAGCTTGCTTACCTGCCGTCCGCTTCCTCTTTTCCGAGTGGCTATAGCATCTTCCTTACGCTTAGTTTAACTCGTATATAGTACGGTTGAGAAGGCCTGCAAACTTAGATGACAGACTCTTTTTTACTCTCTCTCTCTCTCTCTCCCCCTTGTTTGTTTCTACCACCACTAAGTACCAACACCAATGTTGCGGAAACGCCGTATTCGCCCACCACAGAATTTAAGTCAGTTCACGAGTTTCAATCCCTTAACCGTCAGAGAAATAGTACTAGTGGTAACCTATAATAAAATATCACTACATGGACCCACCGTTTGTCATCGATATACTAAAATTACTGCTTATCAGCACTCAATTAATTCGTGCTTTTTTTAACTTAATTAGTTCTTTTAGATCTTGCAATATGATAATATAAGTCCAGTAAAGCCGTTCATTGTTTTATGGCAATATTACAGCTATTTTCACTGAACATAGAATAAAAATAGTAATGAAAAAGTATTTGCATCACATTAAATGAAAAATACAAATTGTGAACTTAAATAAAGTGCCGATTAACTTAAATATTTTTATGTTTCTGTTGCAGCGATTATAGCGCAGTTCTTCTTCCTGGCGTCGTTCTTTTGGCTCAACACAATGTGCTTCAACATCTGGTGGACCTTCAGGTTAGTCTGCTCCATCCTTTTATTTTTCTCTGATCTTTTTTTTCATGTCTTGGCGAGATCCCTTTCCTCAACCCTTTTACCCTCACTCGATATTGCAATTACCAGCGAGTTTAAAACTGCTCTCTTGAAAAAAGCCCAACTTCCGTACTGCGCTTCACCGAGGACTAGGAGCGTAATATTACAATATTAGGACTCTGTGTGGGTATGCGAACGTGTGAAACGCCATTGAACGCGTGCTGTGCTCTATTTTCGTATTATCCGCACGTTTACAACCGTGTGGAGAAAAAGAGAAGAAAAAAGTACGGAAAGTGTGCGGTTGGGTAAAAAAAAGAGGGACGAATTTTTTTTTGAGCCGTGAGTTTTTACGCTTAGGATTCCTCTCGAGTACATTTTTTATCCTGCCGCATTTGTATTTTAGATGTTTGACGCGTTTGCAAAATGTACACGTATGCTGTACTTACGATTTTTTGTTGCAGTTTACGTTTAACAAGAAAATAATATCTCGTTCGGCAGCAGTTAGAAAATTACCTGGATTGGTGTTTCTTCACTTTCCAACGACATTACTTGAACATTCATAATGCACGGACAAAACAAATCTAAACAAAACAAAAAAAACTAATCAAAACTATCGAGTGAACGTAAGTGCGTAACGAAAACGTAATATTTTGGTGGGTGTTATCGAATATCTTCATTTCTCACACTAGCAAATAAAAAACGTCACTTCGCTGTCGGGGTCAAATGGCAATGGTCTGTAAGCAAAAGTTTCTGTTCCTCTATCTATTTTACTAATATTTATCCGCTATAAAACCTTGGTAGATAAACTGTTGCTGAGACGTCTTGACACTTGTGGGAATATCTCAAGAGATTTTGAGCCTCTTTGCAATGTTTTTTTTTATTTTTCACTTCTCTCCGAGTTCACTGCATCGCACGTTCGTGCAAGTACATTTATGCCATTTGTCGAAAAATAAAAGGGATGGAAAATATATAGCGAAAAAAGACATACTCGTAAGAGCTCTCACGATGTGCAGAAATCTCATGGGAATTGGACGCACCAAAAAAAACACTCAAGTAAGGGAGAATCTGAGCATGAACGTGCGCTCATCGTGTGGGTTGTTCTCCTCGGGAATGCAGAAGCTGTCATTGTCATCTAGCCTCGAGGAAACGAAGTTTTGGCCCAGTTTTCAACGGTGGCAGCAGTTGGTGGGGAAAGAGAGACAGGGAGTTAGTTTGCTGGAATCTCCGTAATTGACGAGAGAACGTCACGGGCGACGGCGTGAACGAACTCTCTCCTCTGGCAGCCGCCACCATCCCACGACTGTACGACCATCACAGATCTTGGTACTAATTAAATGCATTAGTGAGCATAAGAGACACGAAGAAAGAACGTTGGAGGCAGGTTCACGTGATTAGTTTGACGTGGCCCTCGATGGCTTGCTATCTCTTGTCCACCAAACGGCTTACCCGAGTATCATTGATAGGTGACGCTAATTTTGCTTGAAAATTACTTTTTAAAAGGACCATTCGAGTGGCAGCAAAAATGGAGCACCATCGTGTCGTTGTCGAGTGCTTAATGATTGAGTAAGATAAAATTTAATTAGCTGGAGGATAAACATACGAGCATTTGAAGACGTAGAGTTCACGGTGCATGCAAAATTTTTTCAATGTGAATCCCAAGGAAAAGATGATGAATATTTATTCCTTTTGGTACATAATAACAATAATAATAATAGTAATACTAAAAATGCAAAGCCATGTAAGTTCTTGGGATCATCTGGTCACCCATTTTTTTCTGTAGTTAATTTTTCTACAGATAAAACTTTTTTCCATCAAAAAGTAGACTGCACTGACGACTTCTGGGGTGGTTTTGATATAAAAAGCTCTCTCTACATAGAATAAAATCCAATAGATTTTACGTGGTCAACGACAAAATACATTTTCAAATACATGGTCGACAAACACGTGACAACTGTCTCGTTAAAATCTACTTCTGCAACATCGCATTAACAAGAAGAGATAAATCAACGAATCAGAGGAGGATAAGTAGGATGGATCGGATAATATGGTATAAATGGCAGATATCCTCGAGCAAGACAGTCTTCGTAAATATCTTGTGCACTTCCGGGAACTTAAAAATATTGATTCTGCTCTTAGGGAGAAGCTACGACGGAGGAGGGGATTTATTCGGAGGAATTGCTCGTACCTCCGCATAGCTCGTGTTTGCAAATGTCATTTCGTTGAACTCCCCTCCCCCACATCTCCCACTCAAATCGAACTTTTTGCACGAGAAGTGGTACAATAAATAGTTTCTCTTCGGCTGCTGCTGGTAGTGTGTAACCAACTAAGTGAAAAGTCGGAGTGAGATTGATTGATTAAACAATCGTTCGTGAGATCTTTGCTGAGAAATCGATTAAACATTCCTTTTTTTTGTACCAGATACTTAAACGTTAAAAGCTGAGATGTTTTACAATAGCGTTGTAAGGTTCTTTATTCTACTTTTTTTTTTTTTTTTTTTTTCAGATAAACAGGGATTAACCAAGAAACAAATTATAAATCTTTATTATTTATATAATACTACGTCTGAAAAATTCATGGAAACGTTAAAATAAATTGTAGCTCAACTGAATAAAATGTAGTTGGAACAATGCCACAACAGCAATACCCATATATACATGCGTTTGGCTCGACTCTGTATGCATAAAAACAGCAGTATGAAACCCACTGTAACTCTACTAAAGGAGAAGAATTCGCAGTCCTTTAATTAATTCTGGCATTAAAAAAAAAAAAAAAAACTAAACCCTTACATTTTTCTCTATCTCCTTGACTTGAAAAAGGTAGGCGCACAGACGGAAAACAGCCAAAGTTGTAGCCTCCGGTTGGAGGGAGCCAGTAAATAGAAGCCAGGAAATAAAGACAAGTGAGACAAAGAGAGGAGCAGTAGTACCAGTACTGTACAGGGTATAACATAGTAATACGACTAAAGGCGGAAGGAAGCGTTGAAAAAATCCCACGAGTAGCACTCGTTGCGGTGTTTTTTTTGTGGCATACTTCCTTGCGTAAAAGAGAGAATAACTAATTAAGAAGAAGATCATCGCACGTTGATCTTCTGCCGCGTGCGGCACTCCCTAGAGGAGCTGCTGTTCTGCTGTTTTATTAAGCTCGCAGTCTTGTGGATGCTAATGAAAATTAAATTAAAGTGCCTGGAAATTTTCAATTTTCTACAGTAACTCTGATCTCTTGAAAAAAAATCGTTAATTACACTTTTCACCTCCACCTTTACAATAAACCTAACTCGATTACTTTAACTCCATGGAACACGTGTTACGAGATTTTTCATGCCGATAAGTTATTGAACAGTGCGTATCATTGGACAACGATGAGAATTCGTTTTAAAACTAATAAATAACAGGTACACATAAGCCATTGTCCAGAATCATCTTGGACGTTCCCGTGTATTAAAACCACAACAAAAACGTACAAGCATACGTTTTTAGGGCACTGTGCTGGACAATACAGGTAACGGTACATCGATAGGCATCTTTGATGCGCACAACGGCCTCGGATAATAAAAACCACGTGAAACCATGAGTAGGTACATTGATGAACTTTGCCCAACAACTACGAAATACATGTAGAATTCAATATCATTCGTTATTTGGCTCTTGCTTGGATCAGCTCTCTCTACAAGTAAAAAAAAGGTCAGAGAGAGAGAGAGAGAGAGAGAAGGGAACCGATGTGTTTAGGTATCCATCGAAACCATCTACCGTTAGATTTATACGTAGACGCATGCATACCTACACTCCTAGGCACCAAACAATGGAATCATGCTTACTGAATAGGAAAGAAAAAGTCCTTTGATTATGCGCTATGCAAGTAATCATTGACTGTCAAACATTTTCGAGGATAATTTCTTGAGAGCCCGAATGCACGCATGCAAGTAGTTGCGTTCTCTTGTGATCATATATACTTATATACATACCTATACAAGAGCAAGTTAAGAGTCGTTCAGACATTAATGTAGGACCAGACTTCGACTCTTCTTCTCCATACGTGGCTATGAATATTTATGAAGTGCCTGATGGCGTGCTGATACATACGCTTTTGCGTGCGTGTATATGTGGGGGTAGTCTCGCACGTTTGTGCGCAAATTTGTAAGAGAGGCAGGAGTACGATAGGCTAGTGTTGAAATGACGCGGATTAATGCTGTTAGCAAACAGTGGTAGTGCACACACCTGACCGTACAATGACCTCACACTTGTCTGTTGCATATGTGGTATCTCTCTCTCTTTCTCTCTCTTTCTTTTATCGAGCATTTTGACGTTGCAAAATCGATAAATTATCGAAATGCATTGAGGCACCGTAAGCCTACAAACGCAGAACGCTCATAACCACTGTGGATTTATTATTTTTACGTTAATCAAGTCTAAAATTTTTCACGGGATTTATAACTCTTTTTTTATGAATTGCAAGGTGTGGCTTTAATCACATTTTATAGCTGACACGTGACTTTTCGAAAAATTGCTGAAATCGATGCCATGTGCATGTGATAAATTTTATTTCGTGTACTGTTTGCACGCTTATACTTGAGATAGGTGAACATTGAAACTGAAATGAACATTGATTACTTGCCACTGGCATATAAACGTATCTGTTGAGCCTCAACCTCGTAACCATGATCTGTAGGAAAAAGAAGCTCTATTTTAAACTAACTTGACCTATCATCACATAGGACACGCCACACTCAAGATACACTCGCACGTGACAGTTGACATCTACCTACTTGCGTCCATCTCTTTTTTTTCTCTTCCTTAAAAGGATTATACCTCGAACTTTTAAACCGTACAACCATTGAGTATATAATATGCGAAAGCTTTACGTTTTGACTCACTCGGTGCTATACACTTTCTTTTGTCAAGACTTTATTTTTTCATCTCTCCTTTAGTTGCTGTAGGGGCTTGTTTTTATCTCTTGAAAACGAAGTAAAGAGAAACGTATTTGGATGA